TTCATATCTCTGGGTTGTTTACAAGGTGGACGAGGCTTTCCTTAAGTGACGCAACATCCTCCACCCTAACTTTGACTGAGTGTGTGTGTGTGTGTATTTTTGTAGGTCATGTGTGTGTTCTTTCACACTCAGGAAGAGCTTTGGCTTGTGTAAGGAGCTTTCCAGAGGAGACGACAGCACAGCTGACAGCGGCAGGGGATTAGCTCTCACCGAAGAAACATCTAAGAAAAATGTGTATCTCCGTCTATTTATGCGTACATGTGTATGCGTGTGTGTGACGTTAGTCATTAGGAATGTCAGAAGAGGGACCAAGTGCGAACATCCCGGCAGAAATACTCAGGTGCAAGACAAAAATACTAAATTGCAGGGCACAAAGGAGGTCTGCTCACAGTTAGGCTCCAAATAAACCGTTTATTAACGTTGGGGTGAAACGTTCCCACGAAAAAGGGAAAAAGAGAAATACAATATTTACGTGGAGCCTAACCCTGTGCAGACCTACTTCGTCCTCTGGTATTAGGAATGTGTCATAAAACAACAGATGTCTCTCGTCTTTAAACAGCTGGATGCATCGATCTGCCAGCTCTTCTTATCTGTATCGTGCATCTGCTTCATACACAGTCGGCTGCAGGTCATTGGAAACGCTCTAGACTCCACACAGTCGCTACAGACTGGCTGTTGTAATTGGACCTGTAAGGATGATGACAGCAGAGATACAACTAGCTAAACTTGGCTGAACATTTGCACAGTTTACAGTGTGTTGCAATTAAGCCAATGCACTTAGCTGGCACGCGGACAGGGACACACGTGGGAGGCAGACAGAACTAGATGAATATTAAATCCCCAAGTTGGATCCTGACTCAAGTTCTTCGAGTAAAAACTAATTGCTAGTTTGAAAAAAGTGACGATTAAAGAATAAACATAAGGCCGTCAGAGAGGAGTTGAATTATTTTCCAGCCCTACAGCTGTCTAAAAATCTGATGTTCTGATGGTGGCAGGTTGATCCCAACGGTGCCTGTAGGCATAAGTGTGTGTGTGTGTGTGTGTGTGTGTGTACACTATATATCTGCCAACAGCAATGCCAATATCTGCTCATCGGCATGCTGATTCATCAGTCAGGTTCCATTATATAGATCCTTCTGTGAGTGACTCAACATTGTTCCTGTCAATTATATCCAGCCGTCTGAGCCAGTGTTGTCGGAGAGCTCATTGAATATCCTCAAGGCTATGGTGGCTTTCATGCAATGATTACAGGCCTGAAAAGTTTTGGACCAAGTATACATGCATTCAAATATATTTCTAAAAACAGAACAAAACAAGAAAGGGCACTAATTAGCTCCTCGGAGTCCACAAGAGAAAACAAAGGAACCAGTAACGCACAGTTTACTTGATGGGAACTGTCAGCTGGGTTGTATCTCTGACCAATGACACTGCGTGGCTTTAACTACCCGAATAATATTATTCATGCTCACATCCCTCACCAGGATTGTGAGGCCTCTGCTCTCTGGATGCTTTTTTGTTATACAATTCCCGACCTCTGGTCTGCCTTTATGTGTATAGCGTGTGCTTGTGTACGAGTGTGAGTGTGTTCGTGTGATGTTGATGTTGACGCGGGCCCCAAGGGTATGATGGTGAGGTCGGGGACAATCCATTTAGCCTACTCACCCTGGTAATTATTCAGCATCAGTATCACAGAGTACACATACACACAAACTAATGCACATTTAAGAGGGAGAGGGTGGCCACGAGTGTGAGAGATTACAGTGCTGAGTGTAAAGTAACTCTGAATGCAAATGGTTGAGCTATCGACCTGCTAATAGGGGTCGGCTTGCTGGCTGTATGCGTGTGTGTTTCATGGTAAAGCATGTGCGTCTGTCCTCTCCCTGCTTGAGGCAAGGTGAAAGGTTAATTCAGGACTGCCGCAGGTCAGCTCTCCTCTCACACGCTTCCTCTGTCACACCTGAACACACACACGCACACACACACCTATATACATGCATGCTCACGCCCTTGTATCTCCTCATCTGGCCCAAAGGCACATGTCGTTGCCAAAAATCCCATGAACACAGTTTTTGTTTACACACACACACACACACACACACACACAGACACACTGCCCTGAGCATCACTGTCTGTGATATTAATAAGGTGAGGGGGGGGCGGGGTCATGCCTGAATCATGACTCACAGCTCAGCTCCCTTAGCAACCGCCACTGCCGGACTGCATTTACCTGGTGTGCGCACACACACACACACACACACACACACACACACACACACAGCATGCCAAAGTGACCTTCACATCCTCACAAACACTTCCATTGGACACAGAGGCACAGAGGCTCTTTGCTCCCTCTCTCGCTCTCTCTCTCTCTCTCTCTCTCTCACACACGTCCTTGTATATCTCACCTCCCACATGTGTGGCCCCGGGACAGATTATTGGATTAATTTATTAACACACAGACCATAACCCTTATTTTAACCCCATCTCCTGTCTCACCTCCTGCTTCCGTGCATTGCACTGTCCTTGTCTCGGTGACCTTTCCTGCCCTCCTCCTACGATTTCTCCCCTTGCACCTCCTTGCTCAGGCGCTGACTGCATCCAAATTGTTAATTTAACAATCCACACAAGAGTGTGCATGAAGATTTATGTGCTAAGTGCTGCTCTGTGAAAGGTATCGTTATGCATGCAAAATACAAGAAAGTACTGGTTATATAGCCGACGCTCACTATACAATCAAAATCCTCACATGATTCTTTGGGCCATGTTGTACCCATAAAAACAATATCAGGGGACATTTTCTAAACAATACACATAACTTTAAGATTTAGGTTGTTGAATAACTTCGTGATAAACGTATGGAGCTGAATCTAAAGACAACAGATTTCTTCTTCTGCTATCATGAAGGCTCCCTGCTAAGTTCTACAAAGTTCTGAAACAATAAGTCATTAATTGATGAGTCAACGGACAGTCTATGAATCTACTTCGTCATTTGTCAAGCAAGAATGCCTCACATTTGTTGGTTTAAGCTCGTGAAAATGTTAACGTTTTCTGAATGTTTTATATCGTTGTAAATTTAATATCTTCGACTGTTCGACCTTGGGCTCGAGGAAATGGTGGTCCAAAGATAAATCTGCGCAGTTCCGAAATGATTTAAAAGATTAAATAGATGTTTACTGTTTGTGTATTTTTTGTACTTTCGACATGTTTTTCTTCTTTCTTGTACCTCTATAAAAAAAAATCCTAAACTTCACAAGGAAAAGTCTGTTTTGAGGGCCGAAACAATAATTCAATCAATCTATCACTTAATAGACAGAAAATTTACTTCTTTTGACACTAAAGCCATCACCTCTCATGAAAAATTGCAAGTCGTAATTTTAGGAGTTCACAAGCCAAAATGGATGTAAATCTCTAGACTAAACAATTCATTAATAAATAAAAATAAATAATAGTCAGCTGCGGCCTTACTCCTGTGTGAAAGTGCAGGAACACATACTGCACGCTACAACAATATTATGTATAATATACCCATTTAGAGTATGTAGAATAAGATGATAATTCAGATACAACGGCTGGACTGACTCCTTACTTGAATGGACTTGCCCGGTTCCCCCTCTCTTTGACCCCTCTCCTCATGTTGTCCTTCACTCCCTCCTCGCTGCTACCTGTCCCCTCCCAGAGAACAATACAGGCTACCAGAGTCACGCCATCCCAAACCCTCACAGAGTCCAAAGTGCTAGATGAGTCCTGACAGAGCGGACAGGGTGTAGAGGCCACTGTTTTAACAGCCATTACCGGGATAGGTGCTGACAGCTATGCCTGTGCATCCCTCCCTCTCTCTTGCTCTCTCGCCTTCTCAGCGTTGGAAGAGAGTGTGTGGGGCAATGCTCCAAATAGGACACAGTGAAGGAGTGGCATTTTAACAAGGACTGTGATTAAAACGGCAGAATTTGTTGGGCTATTTGGGGGACGGGTTTTCATTTCAGGACCGCAGCGACGGCCACATAAGGAGACAAACATCTTATTCTCAGTCAAAGTGTCTGATTTTAGTTGTAAAACCAGACAGCGCTAAGCTCATGCTGAAGAGAAAACTGCATCTTGAAACAAAGTTAAAAAGGTTCTCAGTCTAACAAAAGGAACAATTACACAAAAGGGTTAGGCCGAGATGAAAGAGGTACTGTCTTACATGCTCATTATTGTTGGGATTTCTGTCGTAACGTTCAGGCAATTGAATAAATGAGACCAACTTGATATTGTCGTTTCAATTGTACTTTGCAGATCAGCTTTACAGCCTTTAAATCCTGTCCTATGGGGAAGTCCCAATACATTTCACGAACAAATACATACTCAATAGGTGGGTGTTGCTTGGCAATCCATCTTTTCTCTTTGTTTTAATTAAATGTGGCATCTTTGCCTCTGGAGTTGCTTTGTTTCATAGCGATAAAGCGACAGAATGCAGCCACAGCGCCTGTCATCATGAAAAACAATCCGCTGCTGAAGATAAAGGCCAAATCCACAGTAATTATTGCACCTTAAACACAAGGGTTTATGTTTATATCTTTCTCCTTTGTTTTAATTTGGGGAGCAGCCAGATAGAAGGCACAATAGACGGCTGTAATTATGAGAAGATTGTGAAACAGGATTATTGGTTAATGCCTCACATACATTACAGTAGAGCAGTCATTCCCGGTGAAAGGAAATTCGTTTCAGTGCAGCAGAGGAAATAAAGCAAAGCAGGGTCGCAGTGCTACATCTCTGGGGGTTTTCCTGCTTTATCAGAAATGGCATGAGACAATGTCCTCATTGCTAATGTATCAAGATAAATGTGCAGAGATTTACAGGTAAAGGGGATTACTTCCCAGGGACAAAACATGGCAGAAACATTATTTCTTCCCCCCAGTGGGCATGATGTTCCCTGTGGTGAAAGAGCCCTGTCTTGTTGGATCTGCTTGCGTCAGAGGCAAAACAAGACTAACAAATTATTTCCTGTGTTTTGTTTTCAGCCTGAAGGAACACCAGCAGTAAGCCACGGAGACAGGCCACACTGGAAAGAAGATAAGATGATTGTTGGAATAAACAACTTCAGAAAGGACTTGTGTCAGAAACCGAAGAGTATGAGAAAGTATTGCAGAGTACCTTCAGTGTGTGTGCGTCTATGTGTGTGTGTGTGTGTGTGTGTGTGTGTGTGTGTGTGTGTGTGCGCGCACGTGTGATGGGCATCCATGCACGCATCTGCAGTATGGATGTGTGGGTCATTGTGACTGTGTTTATTTCTATCTTTGATCTAAAAAATATATCTCTGAGATTTATTCAGCACCTAAGTGCTACGAGTTCTCAACAGCCGTCCGAAAGCAGCTGCATATTGCCATATAACTCCAGTGTGAACCACAATCCGAAAACTGAACTGATGTCAGTGTGTTGTCCAGAGTGGTAATAATCATTATAATGATAGTCAAAGAGCAGCAGTAACTTTGTTACTAGCCGTCGTCCATGTGCTCTGGCAGCGATCCACATCTTGTGTTTCTACATGGTTTTCATGTACAGTGATAGTGGCACATGAATGGATCACTTTCAGACCACCTGAGACTTACTCAGGCCCAGAAAATCCAAGGACAAGAAAACTCCCAACGACCTCAGCCATTACAGATTGCATGAATTTCCGGTTTGTATCTTGCGTTGTCTATAAACGCAGTGGATTGGCATCCCTTTTTTTCCCAACTGGTGGATGTGTCCTTTTGAAACCCATCTTTTCATGTATTCCATATACGATCAAAGCCTTGAGCTGTGGCGTGCTTACAGTTACAATACAGAAGGCAGCGGCGAAAAAGAAAAGCAGCACAAAGACCTCCTTCTCTGAGGTGAGGGTCTGCGCAACTTTGTGAATCATCTACCGTTGAAAACATTCCCACAGCACTGAATACTGATGTCAGATGCAGTCAGGAGGTGACTCAAATGATCTTCTCTGTTGAGTTGGGCGATGTGTAGATAATATTTTTTTTATTCTATGGACAGAGAAGAAAAAAAGAAAAAAAAAAAAATCACTCCCAAACCATGTAGCAGCCAATGTGCAATACAACTGGGATGTAATTCAATGCATGCAAAATGTAAAACGTTGCATTCACTTGCCTTTTTAAAAACCTATTGCTTGCGCGTTTTTGGCAATAGCGCTGCTTTCTAGTGATAGCTTCGTCTGCATTACTGCACATGCTTGCACCTGAGCAAAAAAGGTCACCTTTTCAACATCGCATTCATTCATCGAAAATTGAGAACCTTTTGATACCTAGAAATTAGACCAGCCACTACTGTTACGACACCCCTCATTTTGTGTGTATTTTGAGTGTCTACAGTGAGATCCAACAATGGTGTGTAGCATCATAAGATGAGCAAACAGATGACACGCTCCACTTTCCTGTGCTGGCACTGAGCAGCATTCCTCTATAAGAGGAGAGGACTGGAAAACACAGCAGTCAATGCTAAGCTATCGGCTGTTTGTTTGTTTTCTCTGTAAACACATTAAAATGTTATTTTTTTAATTTTGTGCTTTGTTCATTTCATGGTGAGGAGAGTTAAATATGAGTGACCTGATTAAAAAAGTTTTTCTTCTGCAGACGTATGTATGAGTAATGGTTTTATGCAATCACACGGTAATATTAACAACCATGCAATGAGGGTTTAAAGTTTAATAGTTTAATGAAGCAAAAAAAAAAAAAAAAACAGTTTGTGTAAATAAGCAGTAGCTGCAGGTGAAGTTTGTGTTTTAAGAGTTTTGTATTCATAGTGTTCACCTGCACTGAGTTACTGGACGATAAGGGAAATGGGTTTCTTATGGATGTTATTGAAAAACATATGAAATATGCTGGCACTTAAATAAGAATGATGGGTCATGTCATGTTTCTGAATTGATAACCATCAGTAAAAAATGAACTCATCATGAGCCGAAGAATCAGTGACGATGGACCAAAATCCAGCGTGTGGAGTATACGGTGAGTGATCACAGAGGGATTTAGAGAAAAGCCGTTTTCATGAGGACGACCACATTCACCACAAAGATCATCCTTCGGAGAAACATCTGATATGTGACTGTTTTGCTAGTGGATTCGTAAAACAGCAGAAAATGAGGATGCAGGACTACGGACTGTTGGATTTTAACATGCGTTTAAAATAACCAACCCCTCTGTTGTTGGTAATGCCGTACGAAAAACACAAAACAAGAAGCCATTTGGCTTGTTTGATGACTTTACGCCGACTCCTTTTCTCTCCAGCACTACTGTATTCACAAAAGACACAGCGTCTGTGTGTGTGTGTGTGTGTGTGTGTGTGTGTGTGTGTGTGTGTGTGT